TTATCAATTGACAAATAAGCATCAATTGTAAAACCCTTCGATTGTTTTTATATCTTTGAAATTTTGTCGTTTGATATTACGTGCGTATAACCTTATAAAAACAAAAATTTATATACAATTCAAATGCAGAAAATCACAATAGTAGAAAAAGAAAAATCACTTTTAATGCCATGTCATATTAAGTGGTTTGCCATAGAATTTATTTGTTTTGATTGTGGAGTTGAAGTGTCATTTACCGAGGCTTGAGAGTTGTGATCATATTGAAGGTAGAAAATATAAGGAGATTGCCTTAATTTCCTCCTCTGGTATCGAAAGCATTTTTTTTATTTTTCTGCCATGAAATTGATTGTTTATGATGCTTGGATTCGTGACTGATGAGGTGTTTGGATTAAAGATTTGGAAAATTTTGAATTTTGATCCAGTATATATGGTATGTTTGGTGGGTAAAGGTTGGAAGATATTTTGAATTGGTCCCAGAAATTTGATCCATTTTACTCTGAACTTTCGCCAGATAATACGAATTGGATAATGTGAGAATTCGAGTGTCCAATAAAAAAACAAAGAGAAATGAAATATAGAATGGACAAGTGCTAATGGTGAAAATTTATTTGCATCATAATATGTATATTTAAACAAAAAGAACATCATTTGCAAAGCACATTAATGTTTCCTTGAATTCTCCATTTTACACGCGTAGAGAAACAATCCTTATAAAGCTTTGATTGGTATAACTTATCGATGAGCAATAGCAGAAAGCAGCATTAAGAGTAAATTGCTGAAGCAATATATCTAATACACTAATACGTATATTCTAAATGATTGGTAGAGTTATGAATAATTAGATATAAAATTAAAATAAATCATTTTATTTTACTTATTTATATGTATTCTAATACATTATATATATATATATCTATATATATTAGTCTTAAGTTATAACATCAATTTAAAAAAAAAAATTATTATTTTAATATAATAATATTTAACAAATAATATGACAAATAAACTAATGGTATATATTAATTTTTCAGTTTAATAAACATATAAATATATTTATAAATTAAAAAAAATGTTTAAGTTATATTGAAAAAAAACTTATTTAAAAAATAATAGAACATATTAAAATTGATATATATATATATGTTTTATAATTACAAAAATTATGTATATTTATTTTTATTGAAATGCATTGTATATATTTATAAATTATAGCATAATTTTTTAATAATCTTTTCGAATTTAAACTATAGAATTGAATTATTATTATATTATAATATTATTTTAAAATAATAGAATAAATAAAACAATGATAAATATGAATTTCAATAATTAAAGTTAATAGAATTTGTTTTTGATGTAATATAAAAATAAATTAG